AAACAGTATACATTCTCAATATAGTTTTATATCACGTTGTAACTAATCTTTAAGAAATTAACACTTGTTGGTCCAGTCCCATGCCCTGCTGGTTAAGGGATCTGGACATACATTGTCAACTGTGTGACTCAAATCCCAGCCAGTGCAAAGAACTTGGTTAAGAATGATCATAATATTCTCATTACCTAAAGCTGTAGTAGTATAATACAACCATGTTCAGTTACTTGAAATTTTGGAATAATCATAAGATATATTCTTTGTCTTTCTCAAGATAGACAGGGATACGTCTGAGTGACAATGAAATGGCATTGTGGGAGAGTACGCAAGCATTTTGCTCCTTACCCCTCACTGGTCACTGGCCTGCTTCTGTCTTTGTTTCTGCATTTTCCTGCATTGAGCCTAGAGGTGAGGAATTCTCCAAAAGGACATTGGTTTTATAGAGGAGAAACTGATGTCATAGCTTATAAAATGTTTCTAGTGTTTAGGCACCCCGGTAATCCCCTAGTTTCAGCTCTCAGCAGTGCAGAAATCCCATGGCAGGTCTTTCTGCAACCTCTGTATGAATATTCCCAAGCTCACCGCCTCCTAAACTGCCCTGAAGCCTATTCTCTTTTAAGCAACAAGTCTACCTTGCCTTCTGGTAAAATATTACAGAAAGAATGCTTCCTCCTTTCCACAGTAACTTCTGAAGTACTTCAAGATACTTTTAGTCCTTATGGATTTTCTTCTCTCTGACTTAAGTATATTGGCTTTTTAAACAGGTGAACTTTTGTGGCATGATCTGTCCAGCTCATTCCCATTCTGTATGTACTCAAGATTTTAGTTGGTACCTGAAATGACACATAATATCCTTGTGTAATTGAATACAGATTTCTTAGGAACTGTTCCTTCCTTTGACTTAAAATAGTAATTACTGCCTTTTAGTTAGGTATGTAGGCATTGGAATCACACAGATCTTCTGACCTTGTCGCTAACAGCTCTGTAATCTCTCTGACTCTACATTTCCATGATATTACTATGTAGAGTTATTGTAAGAATTAATATACATTTAAACACGTGTGTATGTGTGCCCAGAAATCCCAAGAGGAGGATAGAGGAGAAGAGATGGCTGTGTGGCCATCTCCCCTGGAGGTGATTTCTTGCTTTTTGTCTCTGTCTTTCTCTGTCCCTGTGATGATGAGTACACATTCCCTGGAACAAAAATATCTCAAATAAATAAATAAACACACAAATAAGGCCTTTAATGCCCTATCAGTGCAAAAATACATAAATAACGGCATTATGAATGGTCTTCCAAAAGATGAATTTGTTGAATTTGTCAAATAAGTACTGCCTTCGACAGGAGCCCGGAAGACTAGAATTACAAGAGTTTAGGGTCCATCTGCAGTGGCGAAAACACTGGTGCCCAGAGGTGCCTGGCCTGCCTGCAGTTGTACCACTCAGATTCCCCTATTTGTAGGCTGTGCATTTTGTGGCATTCTGAAATAACTTGAATAACAGATTGTCTATAATGCCTACTGGAACATGAAGAAAACATTACATCAGAATGTATCCTAAGTATTTTAAATATATTGTCTGCATTCTCTTACGTGCTTCGTAAGTGGCTATAACTAATAAACTTTCCCCAGTGATGTAAGAGAGCCTCAGAAGCAGCAGTATTAGATAGATATAGAGCATCTTTGATAAAAAATCATTAGAATTATCACTGTCTGGAAATAAATTATTGCCTTTAATAAATAAAGAATGGGACCATATTGTAAATACCCTTACTAATTTTATGTATTGTCACAAGGTAAAGAGATAGTAATTTACCATTAATGTAATTAACTGTTATTCAAGTAAGTAAACTTTGGTTTTATGAACATTACTAGCAAAAATTTTTCTTAATTTTTTTCATACTGTTTTTATCTTTTTATGTGGTTTTAGGCATAACACTATGGTGATTGTCTTGTATATTTATCAAAATAAAAACACATAAAAATAGAAAATGTATTACAAACATATTATTGAATGAGGAAAGTAGAGATTCCAATATTTCCACTTTTATATAATTTAAACATTTGTTAGATTGTGTGAAATATTACGGTTCATATATCGAGTTGTCGGAAAAGTCATGATGCATTTTTGCATAGAATATATGTCCCATTTTTTTCCAGTGACCAAATAATTTAATACATATAATGGACCACGAAAAATGATTGCTTTTTAGAAACATGTTTCATGGCCCAGGTACAGTTTTATCACCTTAAAAACATAAAAATTCACTGACCAAGTAAATTCTTATAAAATATAATTTTTATTAATTTAATAGCCAATTTTCAAAGAATTTACCTAGGCATATAAAATTACATATATAGATGCAGTAATTATAAAACAATACTGACATTTTTCTTTAGTCATGTTTTCTGCAGGTAAAGTGGATACTCATTTATAAGTATAGATTTAAGTAGCATAAAATTTTGTTCTTTTCCAGATACTTAATTTTATAAAAATAGAGTAAATTCAACATCTTTTATCGTAGGTAAATTTTTTTTAAAGGCAGTTTCATGCTTATCCTGCCTGGTAAAGGAATTCAATCGTGACTCCTCTCAGGGACTGAATGTCAGCACTGTTTTAGTTCTGTTAGAAAAGAGTGGGTGTGTGGACATAATAATACCATAATAGTTTTGACTGTGATGACAGTATGAGGTTGTTTGGAAGATAAGATTCCTTTTAAATTGTTGAACATAATAATGTGCATAGACTCATAGGTTCTCAATAGCTATTTGTTGGATTTAATCTAAGTCAACTTCTAAATCCTGTGTGGATGCTTATAGCATCACATATTACTTTATAGGTTCATTTATAAAGCATTGTTGATTTGAAAAATATGGTATGTTCTTCTTAGATTTCTCTCTTGTCTTTCTTTGCTTCTTTTTGGTTTCTTTTATGCATTGTCTTTTCTCTCTTTTTTTCTCCCTCTTCTTGCTCTCCCCTTTTTGTAAATTGTCAGAGGAGTGCATGTGCTCATCAGAAAGAGACAGAGAAAGAGAAGGAGTGGGAGAAAGCATCCCCCCATGGGGCATGGCCACGCAGCGATACCTTCTCCATTTCTCCTTCCTGTCAAGATTTTGGGCATGTGCGTATGTGCCCAGAATGGTTTCGAAGACACTGGGGAAAAGATTCCAATCATGGCGGACCATGTGGAGTCTAGGATATGGGGCTAGCCAGCATTTTTTAGATGACAGTGCAAAGTAGATTAATATAATAGTATAAACTCAATAATAGGAATAGACCAGTATGCCCAGTTATCTATATAACATCTCCTGGTGGTCCCAAGTAGTCCAGTGATGTAGTCAACATTAAGTGCATCACATGTTCCTCTCCCCATCCCCAACCCTCTCTGTTACCCCACCCAGAAAAAAAAAAGAACGTATGAAAGAAAAGTATGAGAAGAAAGTATGTTTGCTTATAAATACATAACACACACATACATCTGTCATGTGTATGCTGTTTCTCCCACTTTGGGAACACTGCTAGTAAGCATCAGGCCTGGAACTTAATTCAAGGCTTCCGAATGCAAATCTTCGGCTTAGAGTGGACTCTAACATGGTGGCGATATCTTCTCAAGCAAAATTTAAGATGATGCTCTGACAGTATTTGAAGCCTTGAACTTGTTAGAATCATATACTGCATTGCTTTTCATGTCAGTTTTTAAAATCGCCAGCCTTATAGGAGGGAGACACTCACGAGCACACACATAGTGTACGGTAGCATTTATGGCAAACACAGTAAGGTATATGGAATATAAGATAGACATATATTTTCAAAAAGGTGATCGGACCTAGTCAGGAAGATCAGATAATGCTCCCCTGGGAAGTGATTATTGAATTGAAATCTGAAGGTTGAGGAGTTAATCAGGGAGGGGCGGATTGTGGGGGGAACAGAAGAGAGCGCTCAAAGCAGATGTGGTAGTGAGTGCAAAGATCTGGTGGTGGTCGGGTGCGTGCTGTGTACAAGCAGCTGTCCTTAGGCAAGCCAGTTTGGAGTATGGTTAGAGATTCTTTTCTCCCTCACTTCTTTTTTCCTTCTTCTTCCTCTCTTTCTTGCTTCTTTATTCCACAAACATACTTTAAGCTGAAGTTTATATTAAATAGAGTAATGGAAAGCAAAATGTAACTACTTTTCAAAATGCCTGGTAGACAATGATTTGAATTAGAGGGTTGAAATTTAAGGGTTGGATATAGCCAAGACTTATCTGTAGTGCAGTGCCAAAAAGAAGAGATGTTGTGGTAGTGGTTTTCTACTCTGGTTCCTGAAATCATGTCAACATTTATCATCGCTGCACTGTTATGTTTTGGTAAACCAGGGAGTAACTAAGTCCTAACCAATGAATTTGAAAATCTTTGCTTAGATTATAAGCATTTTACCTTCCAAGTGCGTTTTTTACTCTGAAGTTTAATATTCCATGCAATTCGTCTTTGTGTATTAGAGAATTAATTCAGGCTGTAGAAATACTGTTAGAATGTAAAGTGACTTCAGCTGCACTGAAGTGCTCTCTGGCTGTGCTATTCCCAACTGGATGACTGTTTATTCTTTGTTCTTGCCAGGCAAATGTATTAATCTTCTTCTCAAGTAATTCCAGGGGCAAATGGTGGCACAGCAGTTTAACAGGAGACCCTTATTAGATGGTTCTAGGTTTTCATCCATCTCCCTGAGTATGCCAGGCCCACTTGTGCCCAGGATCTGTTATGCCGAAGCTGGGAGTACATGGTGTCAGGACCCTGCTGGAGATGCTTGCTCTCTTTTATGGAAGAAATAAATAAACTTTGCTCCTCCAAATATTTTTTCAGCCACTGTAACCCAGTTTCTGAATAGGAAAATTGTGTTCCAGAGAATAGCTGTTTTAGAATCAGTTAGACTGATCATCTTAAAAACTCAAGCAATTTACCCATATTTTCCATTTTGTCTTTTGCTTTTGTGTCATTAAAAGCTTCGTTGGTATCTGTTTTGCTTTGCAGAGAGGGCTATTGCAAGACATGAAGTGAGAGAAATTGAGCAGCGACATACGATGGATGGCCCTCGGCAAGATGCAGCTTTAGATGAAGAGGAGGATATGGTGATCATTTATAACAGAGTTCCCAAAACTGCAAGCACCTCATTTACCAACATCGCCTATGACCTGTGTGCAAAGAATAAATACCATGTTCTCCACATCAACACTACCAAAAATAATCCAGTGATGTCACTACAAGATCAGGTAAATGCCGCTGAGAGAATTTACAAACGTTTTAGGGTATTTTCTCACTCAAATTTTGTATCTCAAGAGGATAAAGTATTTTTTTAACTTAATTTTTTTTTTTTTTTAGGTTTTTGCCTTAGGGCATATGTGCTTGACACAGAGAGCAAAAGTTAGAAGTCACCTTCCAGGGGGGATGGCAATGCCACAATCTCTTCTCCTCCATTCTCCTCTTGGGATTTTGGCACTCATGCACGTGCATCGGCATCATTTTCAAGTCACCAGATCTGGGGCTCTTAATACAACCAGCCATGCGGGAGTTCAGTGCTTTAACCACGGCGCCACCTGGTGGCCCTGAGGATAAAGTATTTTAAAGGAATATGTGTGATGATGTCAATCCTAATCTCTTAAGAGAAGGCACCAGCTGACTTTTGTATAATGTTACATTCTTTACAGTATTTGACACATTTCCTTGCATATATTATGTATTGAAATACTTATAAAATAAAATAATTCATGAATAGTTATAAATTTTGAAGAGAAAATTAATGCTCTTCAGTATTTTCTTTTAAAAATATGAAATATTGGAGCCAGCAGGTGGCATGGTGGATAAGGCCCTGGACTCCCACATAGCTGACCACAGTTCAAGTCCCAGACCTAGTGGCTTAAAAAATTTCATGCCAGGTGTGTGGGTATGTGTGCCCAAAATCCCGAGAGGAGAATGGAGGAGAAGGGAATTGCAGCATGGCCATTCTCACCAGGGAGTGGTTTCTCGCTTCCCCTCTCTTTGCCTCTGGCGAGAGCACATATCCTATGACAAAAGCCATATATAAAAAAATTATATATATATATACACACACACACATATACATATTATATGTATACATATTATAATATACAAGTGAAATATATATGTGCTACATATTATAATATACAAGTGAAATATATATATGCATATATATATATGAATATGAATGAAATATTTTTTGGCAATAAAAATTATATCAGGCCAACAGTGGCCTGGGGTTAAGGCAACTGGATCCCACTTGGCCAGCCACAGTTTGAATCCTGGACCTGATGGCTTGAAAAACATGCCAGGAGCATATGCTTGTGTTTCCAAAATTCCAAAAGGAGGGAGAAAGGGAGAAGAGATTGCAGTTTGCCTCATACAGCTGATTTCTCATTTTACCCCTCTCTCTCTCAACAGCAAGTGCATGTACCCTATGGAAAAATTTTATAAAAAGAATATCATTATTTCAGCTTATGAGAGAGAAACATGTGATGAATACTTGTATGCAATTTTGTGACTAGCCCCATAAATAGCATCTTTACTAGTATTTATATAAATATTAGCTAGAGGGAATAGGGATTGTGGCAGTATCTTTAACTTAATCTTGCCTCTTAAGTTTTGAAACAATTTTAGATAAACATATAAAAAATTTTATTAGATGATCTCAAGAAAAGTGGAGGAAATTTTCTTATGCAGTCAAGTTTACTCATTTGCCCTTTTTTTCCTTTTTCTCTTTTTTCCCAGAAAGTGCATGTGCTCACCAGGGAGAAACCAGAGACACAGAAGGAGAGGGAAAAAGCATTGCCCGAAGGACTTTGGTCACATTGCAGTCCCTTCTCCTCCATTTCTCCATCCTGTCAGGATTTGGGGCACTCATGCCTTGCTTGTTTTTCAAGCTACCAGAGCCAGATTTCAAACCATGTTGTTAGTCATGTGGAACCTGGCTCCTTTAACCCGGCCATGGGGCAAGCCCAAGTGTCCTCATTTCTTTAGCAGTAGTAGCACAGATTTCCTCCACACCTCGGATTCTGGCTATAATTATAAAGTTCTTTCCTAAATATTGAAGGGGGTACAAATTTGGCCCTATGAAAAGAAGAGAGAATATTTGAAAACATGTTGGGCCAACTCTGTAGCCTTATGTTAAGGGAGCTGGATCCCACCTGGCCGAATGAAGTTTGAATCACAACCATGGAGGCTTGAAAAATACAGCACGGGCATGTGGGTATTGTGCCCCAAATCCCTACAAGATGGAGGAGGAGGGATTGCAGTATGCCCTGCCCCATTGCAGAGTGCTTTCTTTTTCTCTCTAGCAATTAAAAATTTAAAAAGAAACTGTTTAGGCTCAAGTACCATATTAGAGTGGCTTTATTAGAAAAGTCGTTGTGATAGCCCTATAGTTAGAATGATCTTTATCTGTTTGAAAGCAGCTGCAGGTGAGCCTGCAGTCCCACTAACTCGAGAGGCTGAAGCAGGAGGCCTGAGAGTTCAAGACCACCCTAGAAAAGAGAGGAGGGGTGTGGAAGCAATTGAACTTGTTTATTGTTACAGAATTGACTGTTTTCCTGCTGTTTAGCATACTTACAGTTCTTGCACTGATGCAGGAGACTAACATTGATACAGAAGTTAAGGTGACTTTCTTGCTCAAGAGCTGTTTGGAAAAGCTATGGTATATGGCAAATGATCTTCCTGTAGAATTCCTGGTTCTCCGCATGGATCCTCAATTACTCTTTCATAGAATCAATAATCTGTATTTGTTGATTAAACCAGATAACTCTTCCATAAATGAGAAGAAACATGAGTCTTTTTAGCTAACTGGGTCATAAAATCTATTTATAATATTTTACCACTCAAGGCAAGTACCCTAAAGATTCATTTTTTATATAGTGTATATTAAGTATATTAAGGTTTTGTTAGGATTTAAAAAAATTATTTAATTCCATTTGTTGTTGTTGTTGTTATTATTATTTTAATTTGACCAGAGAGAGAGAGAGAGAAAGGGAAAACAAGAAAGCAAGTCACCAGGTCTAGGACTTGAACCACTCTTGACCACGTGGGAATTCAGTGCCTTTAACCACCATGGTACCTGCTAGCCCAGGCTTTGTTAGGATTTAAACGTGTTTTAAGGGGCCAGCAGTTGGTGTGGTGGTTAAAGATGCTGGGCTCCCATGTGGCTGACTGTGCTTTGAGTCTTGGATCTGACAACTTGCTTTCTCACTTTCTCTCTCAGTCTCTGTGTCTTTTTAAATTAAAAAAATTTAAATTTAAAAATCTGGTCAAATTTAAACTAACAATAATTATACAGTTAGATAAAAGTAATTCTTTAACAAAGTTTTAAATCACACTTTTGATGTTCAGAATATATTTTCATCTAAAAGAACATTTCTTAATGCTTACATGTTAATTTCAGCTTCCCACAGTAGTATTTTTTTATAAAAATAATTACAGCTTATTTGTTCAGTTTTTAGTTATTTATCATCCAGAATAACAAAGTCTCTGGCTCCTACAAGATGTCTAGCAGTGATAGCAGCCGTTTTCTCATGGAATAGACATCAGCTGAACGTTACCACATGACACTTAGAGGCATCATGCACTGGTACATTTTTCCAGGTGAATTTGGATTAGATAAAGCTTCTGTTTTTCTTTCAATAGTTTTTAGTTATATATAGAAAAAGAAAAAAACAGCAGAAGGAAAGCATAAGTGTTGTCTTTAAAGCACTTGGATTACATAATGAGTGACTCTTAAAACATGTTTGTGTGGGGCCGAACTGAGGCATAGTCTCAGTCATTCACTGATATACTCCAGAGTATCAACTGGTGTTTCAAAACCTGCTCATAATTAAGAATGACTTACTTAAAAATGTTCTATAATATCTCATATCTACAGTTTACTGATCTTTTGGTCGGCAGAAGTAGTTCTTCAAACAAGTCTTATTTACTGCTTCCTCTTCCTTCATCTTGTATGTGAAATAGCATTTTTATTTACTTTTAATCTATTAAGCTCATCTAAATGTAAACTTTTAAAATTATACTATATGCCTGAAAATAACTTTTAAAATATTCACCAAACCCCTTCTTATATAGAAGACTATATTTATTTTTACATTTTTATTTATTTATTTATTTTAGATTTTTGCCATAGGGCATGTGTGCTCATTGGAGAAAGAAAAAAAGAGAGAAAGTGAGAAATCACCCCCCATGGGGGATGTCTCTTCCATTCTCCTTTCAGGATTTTGAGCATGCAGGAACACTCTCCTGGCATATATTTTTAATCTACCAGGTCTAGGATTTGAACCACAGTCAACCATGTGATATCCAGCACCTTAACTGTCATGCACCTGCTAGCCCAAAATACTTTTATTTTAATACCATTTTGGGGAGGGGTTTCCTTATGCCCTGTTCTGAGCTGCATATGTAGGAATTAAATTACCTTATTTGCACTTTCTTTTCTTTCTCTTTCTTTGGAGAGTGTTTTTTTGTTTGTTTGTTTGGTTGGTTTTTTGGGGGGCTATAGGGCTTGTGCGCTTGCCAGAAAAACAGAGAGACAGAAAGTGAGAAATCAACCCCCCAGGTGGGATCGCCATGCCGCAATCCCATCCCTCAGAGGGGATGGCCACGCTACAATCCCTTCTCCTCTATTCTCCTCTCGGGATCTTGGGCACGCATGCACATGCCCAGCATGAGTTTAAGCCACCAGGTCTGGGCCTCGAATTGTGGTTGACTACATGGGAGTTCCGTGACATAGCCATTACGCCCACTGCTGGTTCCGTGCACTTTGTTTCTTAAGAAGTAATTTCTAATCAGTGTATCTGACTTAAGTGAAACTCAAATGAGATTTTTTTTCTTAAATCTACTGTTGCCCCAGATTTCCATTTAAAGCCCAGTTTACTCATGAAAGTATTTTGGAATACAGTAGGTTACCATACTTTTATTTCTTCACCATCCAACCTCAGCAGTTCAATCTCTTTTTTCGGAGAGGTTTTTGCTATAGGGCACGTGCACTCACCAGAAGGACAGAGAGAGAGAGACAGAAAGTGAGAAATCACCCCCTAGGGAGGATGGCTGTGCCACAATCCCTTCTCCATTCTCCTCTCGGGATCTTGGGCATGCACGCACACGCACCCGATGTGAGTTTAAGCCACTGGGTCCGGGACTCGAACCATGGTCAGCTACATGGGAGTCCAGCGACATAGCTATTATGCTAACTGCTGGTCCCAGCAGTTCAATCTTTATCTCCCTCTTTAGTCCCAGATGTTTCCTAGACATATTTTGTTTTTATTGAACTGATCATTGTGCTAAATTATTTACATGCTTAATTATGTCTCTCAAAAACATTAGAGTCAAAGTCTAAGGATTTTCAGTCTGATATAGACTTAATATATAATAGCTATGCATATTCTGTTATTTCTAAAAATAATTCTCAACTCCATATTTAAGTTTTGCATTTATTTGTTGAGTGTGTAACATATACAGAAATCGTACTATGCTCTTTGAGGAAATAACCAAGGAAATAAAAAGCAGTATCTTTTAAGAGCTTATTTATAATTTACTTGGGAATGGAAAATCTTAGACAGTTAAAATAGAATGTTAGTTTATGGTATTCTCACTAAAATGTTTAGCCAAAAATGCTTTTGCCAAAATATTTAGACTGGACCTTATCCTAAGGAAGCAGATCCATATTATGGAACATCCTACAAATAGTTGTTCTAGACTCTTCTGAAGTGTTAACGTCATGGCAATCAAAAAAAGGCCAGGAGGGAGGCAGGCTTCTCTGGACTAGAGGAGACTTAAAGACATGGAAACCACATATAAGGTATGATCTGTGATTAGATTTCTCCAGAGAAGGAGCAGGAGAAAGCATCCCAGTGGGACATGGTCACACAGGAATCCCTTCTCTGTTTCTTCATCCTCTTGGGATTTGGGGCATATATGCACACACCTGGCATGTCTTACAAGCCTCTAGGGCTGGAAATCAAACCATGTTTGGCCACGTGGGCTCCCGCTCTTTTTTTTTTTTTAAATATTTATTTAATTTTATTCACTCATTCATTTCTTTTTTATTTGACCAGAGAGAGACACAGAGAGATAGGGAAAGTGAGAAGGCAAGTGACCAGGTCCAGGACTTGAAGCACAGCTGGTCATGTGGGAGTCTCCAGTGCCTTAACCACCATACCATCCGCTGGCCCGAAGGTCTCCAGCTCTTTTAACCACTAGGCTCTGGGACTGGCCTGAATTTTTTTCTTAATGTAGAAAACTGACTCTGTGGTTTAGTCCCATGAAAGCACCCATGACTCTACAAGAAGTATTTATTTTAAGTAAGTGCATGAGTAGGAGTTTGATAGATAGTAATTACTCATGTTAATAGTAGTGTTCATGCAATAGATGGTAGTTACAAAGTTGAAATTTGTCCAGAATGTTCAGGATGACATAGCTATTCTTTTAGATAGTGAAAACAATTTCCTTTTTGTTCACAGATAATCATAATGTTGAGGTTAATCTCATTAAGAATGTAGGTTTAGAGACAAAGGAGACAGTGCTTTTGTAGCTTTTTTTTCCCCTGTAACACTGATTCAGGTCTAATCTAACTAACAAATAAATCACAACAGTACTAGCTACATTGCTTTTATTCTCCCTAGAGGTCACTTCTGATTACTTGCTAGCCTGGCTCTGTTTAGGTTATAAAATCTGACAAAAACCACAGTTTGGGATTTGCTCCAGGCTAGCCATAAAAACATCTTTTCATGTACTATATCTAACTACCACTTCTGAAACATCCTTCTTGATGGACTATTTCAATCAGGTAGGAACATTTTCACTACAGTAGCTTGATTCTTCTCCCTAGCCAGAGTTTGACTGCAAACAGTCAAACTCTTCAGCCTTAACGTCATTTGATACTTGGTGTTCCTTTTTGCTTATCACTTTACCTTTCATTAGTACCAGTATAGTCAATCCAACTTCATAAAATGATCAGAGTAGGGCTTGCTCACCTCATCTCCAATTTCCTCCTCTGCGCTGTATTCCCAGAGCCTTGTCTTGAGATCTTGGGCAGAATGTCCCAGTGTAGAGGAATAGCAGAAGACGGAGCAAAGGCAAGGACGATGAAGAGGAAGAAAGTGATAGAGCAGGAACTAGGACTGGAGTGATAAGAGGGAGAAGATGGAGGAGAAAGCAGAGAGACATGGAAAAATCTAAAAAAAAAGAAGAGGATACATATTAAAGCTGACTGTGGGCCAGACACTGGTGCAGCAGTGCTTCGACTGTACCCACATCTGAAAGGTCCTGGGTTCATATCCTAGGACCTACCTGGGTATATTGAGCCTATGCAAGCATGCCTCTGATCCAGGCTGGCTGAAACCAGAAGAGAAATGCAGCATTAAGACCCCATTAGGGATCCTGTCTCCCTGTCTCTCTCTCTCTTTTTCTCTCTGAAGGAATAAACAAACTCAAAAAATATATATTAAATGTGGGTGAAAGGAAAAAATATTAAATACTGTTTTTCAAAGAGAGTTAATTATATTATTTTCTGGAGAATAGTTTTGAAGAGATAAAAGTGGTTTGGAATCTCAATAGTATATAAATGACACTTCTAAATGTTCAGACTATTTTCAGAATGGGTGTGACCCACTACTTTCACCACATCAACATTGTTTGTTTTTTTAGCACTTTTTCCCCCATAAAGAAAAAATGAGCCTCAGCTCAGCATCCTTTATTTTATCACAATTTACAAACATCAACCACAGCTTCGTTGATGAGTCTTTAACTTATCACCTTAGTTAACTGTCAATGACATAAAAGAAAAGAAGATGTATACATATGTATACTAGGTGTTTATCAGGTCACTGGGAAAGTCACGATGCATTTTTCTGTGCAAAAATGAGTCACAACTTTCCTGACAACCCAGTAGCCTTTGGTGGTCTTTTAGTTTAGGTTAGAAAAAGATTTTGTGGAACCAGCCCGATAGCCCGGTGAGTGGGGAGGGAGCTGGATTCCACACGGCAGTTTAATCCTGGCCCTGGGGGCTTGAAGAACACACCGGACACATATGTGTGCTCCCCAAATCCTCATGGGATGGGGAAATGGAAGGAAAGGAATTGCAGCATGACCACACCCACTAGGGGTTGCTTTCTCTCTTTCTCCTCTCTCTCTTTCTGTTTCTCTAGTGTGTATGCATGCGCCCTCTGAAAATTAAAAATACAAGATTTGTGTTTTGAAGACTTTATCAGAATCTAGAGAATTCAAAAGCAATAACACCTTACTTGAATTTACCTCACATGACATGAATTTAGGAAATAAAGTTCAAAGTCCTGCATGCAGTCGGTTGTCAGAAAAGTCATGACATGTTTTTCTATATTTTTCTATGCAAAAATGTGTTATAACTTTTCCAACAACTCAATAGATACTTAGATTTGATCTCTTGGCTTTGACCATCCCTGCTCAGCACCCCCTGGGGTTACCTAAAACAATAAAGAGAAAAAGTTAATCATCCCAGTTGAAATAATTTTGTAAGAAAGATCACTGACCGGGGTAGATTGGAAGCTGAGACTGTGGTGATGGTGATGAGTGAGCTTGTGAGGAAATTATCAGGAAGTCATATCAACAGAACTTTGAGATCTTAGAGGCAGCGGAGTTTAGAATGACTACATCTTGATTCTAGGTAAAACCTGAAAATTCCAGGGTCCAGGTTGGCTGATCAGAATCATGACACTAGTGATAACCATTTTCTTTTCCTTTCAAATTCTTCAGTTTTTTCATGTTTGTGTGCTTATTTTCTACCTTTAGTCAGACTACAATGAATGTAGACAATTAGCTACTAACATAGAAAGATGGTTGGACCAAAATCTAAGGTATATGGTTCCTGGACTTCAGTATATCTGTAAAGAGTATAGGGTATGCTAGGTCCCTTCTACCTCTGAAATTCTGAGTTTTATAGATAAGAGTTGGAGACTGTCAACAGCAGTGGGAGACAGCATGCATTGTTCTGTTCTCTACCCTCACTCAACTTTTTCCTGAATCTCGCTGGAGCCACAAGTTTTTTTCTTATTTTATTATTGTTTTTTTTTTTTTTTTTTTCTATGTGGTGCATGCACTTGCCAGAAAGAGAGAGACAGAAAGTGAAAAATTACCCCCGCCCCGGGGGGGATGGCCACACCACAATTTCTTCTCCTCCATTCTCCTCTTGTGATCTTGGGCACACACATGCGCCTGACGTGAGTTTAAGCCACTGGGTCCAGGACTCAAACTGCGGTAGACTACATGCGAATCCAGCAACGTAGCCATTATGCCATCTGCTGGTCCCACATTTCATTAGTTTTGAAAACTTTCTTAGAATGCTGGATTACAGAATGCTTCAGGCATTACTGCGGGGGGTGTGAGTGCGTGGGTCAGAGGACTCAGTGGGCAAGTTTTCCTCTGCATCTGTCTCCTCTTCTGTTTAAATAGTGTGGTAGTTTATAAAATGATCAGAATACTAGTTACTCTATTTCAGTATACTTTCTTAAGTATAAAGGTTTTTTTTTTTGTTTGGTTTGGTTTTTGATTGCCAGAATGCATAAAGTCACCAGATAGAGAAAGAGAGAGAATGGGAGAAAGCATCCCCAGTGGGCATGGTTATGCTGCATTCCCTTCTCCGTTTCTCCATGCCGTCGGAATCTGGGTGTACACACACACACACACACACACACACACACACACACACACACACACACAGTGTTGTTCAAGCTGCTAAGGTTAAGACTCAGATTGCAGTTGGCCAGATGGAATTTAGCCCTCAGTGTACAGGGCTTAAACACTGCACTATGAGGCAGGCCTAATACAAAGTTTATCTATTCATTTCTTCTGTGAGAGAAAGACAGAGATGGTGGGGGGCAGGGGGAGAGGCAGGCATCCCTAACAGGTTTCTCACATTGTGAGCCACCCCTAGCTCAGCTGGCCTGGATCATGGGTGCATCTTCACACACCTGGCCGTGCCACCACTACACCACCACCTGGCCCCTTTTTAATACACGTTTACTTAAAAAATGAGGTATGAGCATATCCTTGCTAAAAGAGTGTCTGTAGAGCTCAGGCCTCCTTTGCAAGCACTGCAAAAGCAATTCTCACGTTAATAAAATCAAGAGCTAACTGCGGGCCCACATGTTCTAAAGCCTTGCCCCACGGTGTGACCCATGGACCAGTAGCATTGTCATCACCTAAGGACTTGTGAGAAGTGTGGGATCTTGGGCCTCACTCCGAGTGAATCAGAATATGTACTGAATCTGAATTTACACTTTAGTAAGAGTCCCAGGTGAATAGTTGCATATTTAAGTTTGGCAAGCCTTGCAGCTATTCAGGTATTATCCCGCTTTTCCAAGGGTCTTTGCCTCCCAGTGAAGGATGTGTTAGATGGTGTCAGTTATTCTCAGGAAGGTTTGGTTTGGTATTGACTATCCTTCAGATTGGTGGAGGTTAAAAGGTATTTGAAGTTTGTACCCAGCTCTTATTTTTGCTGTGAGCCTCCCTGATGTTTGGCTTGTCTAACCCTATTTTGGGGCTAACCTTGTAGCCTAGGAGGAGTTGGATCCCACATGGCTGATTGCAGTTTGAATCCTGGCCTCAGCAGCTTGAAAAACATGCCACGCACCGGTGTTTCTGTGCCCCAAATCCTGAAGGACAGAGAAATGGAGAAGAGAATGCAGCCTGGCCACACCCCTTCTGGGGTGCTTTCTCCCTCTCCCTCTGTCTCTCGCAAGTGCACGTGCTCTCTGCCAATCAAAAAATAACAGTAAAATAACACATTTTTCTCAGACTTTTATTAGCATCTCCTTTCATTTCTACCCTAAACCGCCATGTCCATATTAAATCTCAGCTTTAAAATAGAGCTGAGTTGCTGAATATATCTTAAGCTCTCGTTAGCCACCACCTCCGATTCCTTATTCTCTTTACCTTCTATTTCTCTCTTGTTTTTGGCTGAAATAAAACTGATTTTCATAGAACAAAAGGTTTATATAAAATAACCATTAAATGGAAGTTATAGGGCTTTCAGTTTGTGAATTATTTACTTTTATATTTTCTCTTATCTTTTTTATTTGCCATTTGATGCTTTAGTTGAAGAACAAACAGGAAAGAATGTGAGAACCTCAAATCACACATTTATTTAGATTTTTCTTTTATTGGTAGAAAAATTGAAAATATCTGCTAAAATGAAATCATGTATTTTCTAACACAACATAATTTTATCTACATTCAGTTTTTAGACTTAATTTAAAGGTGAGTGTGTGTGTGGAGAGGGTATTAAAGAAGACTTGTTTTAGGTCTAAAAGGCTCCATATTACTCTTACAGTACATGTAAGTTGTTCATGTTTTCCCTAAAAACTAAACGCTCCCAGGACTTTGTTTTGGCCCTGGTTTGTGCTCTCTGACATATGGCTGCATTGGCGGTATCCTCCTTCCCTACCTGAACGAGAGGGCTTACCTGGGGCCGGTCATCGTTTATTGCTATTAATTTATTGACTCTAATCCAGCGTGAAATACTATAGGAAAAGAATATGTCCATGTGACTCTTCTTTTTTTTTTAATTATTTAAATTTCATTTTATTTATTCACTCATTTCTTTTAATTTGATCAGAGAGAAACACACACAGAGAGAGAGGGAGAGAAAGTGAGTTAGCAAGCCACCAGATCCGGGACTTAAACCACGGTCGGCCACGTTGGAGTGTCCAGAGCTTTAACCACCACGCCACCTGCTGGTCCCTCCATGTGACTCTTCTGAAATGTAAATGAAAGATTGATTAATTATCAGCATTGTGCCATTGACAATCTGTGCAAAGGACTAAAATTAACAGCTTGCAGGTAGGTTTAGTGCATCATGTGGTTATGGGCCTTTCTGCCCCCATACACCTCACTTATCTAGTCTCCAGCAGGGACTCTTTTTTGTTATTTGTTTTTAAAATGAATTAATTACTTATTTTAGAATTATTTATCATTATGATATTTTCAATTTGACCAGAGAGAGAGAGAGAGAGAGCTAGAGAGGAAAAATGAAAAAGTGAGGTGCCAGATCTGGGACTTGAACTGTGGTTAGCCACATGGGAGTCCAGCACCTTAGTCATCATGCACCTGCCAGGCCCCAGAAGATTCTTAACACTTGCTATTTATCATACAGAGATTTCTTTGAGAGATTATATGTTACTGCTTTGCAGCTGGTGGTGCTCAAGTTTATCAAATTCTGTATTAACCAGTTCTTTTAAAGAAAATTTAATATACTTAGAGAACTTTTCATATTAACTAACCTTTTATATACTTTTAATAAGTAATATTTAGATATTTTTAGTTTTTGAGGGGCTGTAGCACATTACTTGTTTTTATCAAACAAGCTTATGGTATCTGCTTTTAGACCTTTAAAATATTCTGGTACTCATCTTTTCTCTAATAATTTTGGCTTCAAGATTAGTTACTTTGTATTTTACTTATTTTTTATTCACGATAAAGGGCATGTATCTATTCACACATGCACACGTGAGAGCAAGTGAGATATGCACCTTCCACAGGGTCCAGCCAGACCACGATCTCCTTCCTCTAGTTCTCCAGTGCACCAGGAGCCCAGGCACTCACATGCATGACTGATGTGTTTCCAGGCCGTCCTGGCCAGGGACTTGACCTGTGGTTGGCATGTAGCTTCCAGCTCTGCAGTCTGGTATGTTGCAGACTGTACTAGAAGCTTGACCAGTTGTTTTATTTGTGAAATAATTAATAAAAATGCATTTTGATGAATAGCAAGCCTTTTAGTAGAAAATAGCTAACATGCATAGAATGTCTCTGTATTACACCGTTGCCTGCCGTGGTGTGTTGGTAGGTGTGGATATACATGCACCGTCCAGCCCTGCCTCGTGTAAATGTACCCACTATACAGCATTGCAGATGTGTGTGTTGTGCAGTTTTGTTTTCAGAATCATTTTCACCCGTTTCTCAGTGTAGTGATAGCAGCTTTCTTTCTCAGGAATTAGTAGTCACAGACTACACTATACATTTCTTTGTCCAAGCCTGTGTTCCAAGATATATAATTGTCATAGTGGCATGACTGGTTTTGAATACCTAGGTGAAAAGTATTTTCTTATCATCCCATTTCATTTCTTTTAAATCATACTTATATAATGAATGTGTTCTTTTTTAGGTGCGCTTTGTAAAGAATATAACTTCCTGGAAAGAGATGAAACCAGGGTTTTATCATGGACACATTTCTTATTTGGATTTTGCAAAGTAAGTGACACCTAAAACAATACACAATACACAAAAGAATGTTCTGTACTTTAGTAATGGAAAAGGAATAAATACATTATATTATTAAGATTTTGATTTTCAAAATAAAAAACAATGTACTGGTTTGCCTTCAGTACTTTTTGATTTCTAATTTAAATAAACCTTCTGGTGTTTTACTGCCCTCTAGTGTTCATGAATTGGCAGTTTTCATATTAATTATAGAAATTCAAGGAAAGATAAGTATAAGGAGTACTCTTTAACCTACTTTGTCATTATTACATATCTGTTTCTTGTTCAAGCAAAATGACACTATTTCAAACAAAATGACACTATTTCAGGAGAGCCCAGCTTTTAACCTGCAAGCCAATCAGGTTTGACTTACTGCATCACTGAGAAGCGGGGAAGCAAGGAAGGCCTTTCTTCCTCATTGGTGCCCCAGTGTGCCGTCTTCTTAGCCAAGATAGTGGGAAGTGTACACTTTCCCTGGGCTTCCTTGTTTTAGCTTTAAAATTGTGTCATATTAACAAGAGACTTGTTCACATTTTTTATGATTTCCTTTTATGTTTGAATATGCATGTAATTTGAAATAAATAAGTTTCATATCCCAAAGTTTTTAGAGGAGTGGAGTCAAAGTATTTATTCTATTATAATTTTTTAAGAAAAGTTTAGAAATGGCAGGTTCAGGGAACCAGCAGTTTGCGTAATGGCTATGTCGTTGGACTTCCACGTAGTTGACCGTGGTTCACGTCCCAGACCCGGTGGCTTAAAACTCACATCGGGCGCGTGTGCGTGCATGCCCAGGATCCCGGGAGGAGTATGGAGGAGAAGGGATTGCGGCGTGACCATCCCCCCTGGGGGATGGTTTCTCGCTTTCTGTCTCTATGTCTCTCTCTGTCTGTCTGGCGAGCACACGCGCCCTATAGCAAAAATCT